GCGGGGTGGGGTCTCAGCCTGGCCAACAAGGACCTGGGTCAGCTGGTTCAGCACCCTGCAGTCATGGGACATGCTTGTGACAAGCCGAAAACTTTTGTTATCTCGTTCAATCCTCCCAACAGACTAAGGAAAACGTCTGTTCCCATCCATTCCACAGATGAGGCAACTGAGGCAGGAGGAGAAGGGCCTTGCCTAGGACTCCCCAGCGCTGCCTGAGGTTGTCCTGTACTGGGGACTGTTGCAGAGCAGGGTAGGCAGTGGGAGACCCCCCCCTCCCCGACTCTCGGTGCCAGAGGACTTGCCCTGTTCGCTGCCAATTGGGGCGGGGCCCCGAGTGGGGTGACGCGGCGTCAGCGTGCTCTGGCGGGACTCGGGCTTTGGTCACACGCCCGGCGCCTGCAGGAGTCGTGGGCGGGGCTGTAGGACCTGCGGACAACCGCTCTGCCTGGTGGGACTGACTGGTCCACCGCAAGCATGGCTTCCAAAGCCCAGATTTCCGTGCCTGCCCCGACTTGGTTACCTGGGGGACCAGTGTGCACCTCCCGGGTGGGCCCCACTCTAAGCCCTGGAGACACCGCTGGGGTTCTGAGCTGTGAGGGGAAGGGCCTCTCTGCCCAAGCAGTGCCCTCAATGTTGGGAGCTCAGAGGTGCGTGGAATGGCAGACCCTGGGCAGAAAGCTGCATATGGAAGCTGCTGAGTCGCCCAGGGCCACTTGCCATTCTGCATGACCCTGTTGTCCTTGACTGCTGGAGCTGAGCGTGAGCCTGCCTGGGCAAAGGAAGAGAGGGCCAGGCAGTGGGAACAGACTGCTAAGAGTCCAGGACTTCACTTTATACCAGAGACTGTGATGTGAGAATTCTGGCCCTAGGTGAGGGAAGAGCTCATTGGAGTCAACTTCTGTTGCGAGCTGTCCAGGAAGTGTCTAGGCCTCTCTGAGCCTCTGTTTTCACCCACTGTGGTGACTGCTTGACATTATCAGTCCCTTGATAGATCTCCACACAAGGGCTGGGTATGCCCAAAGCCTGTGCACAGTGAGGAGTTAAGCTTACAAATGCGTAAAGGGGGATGCCAGCTATGTATTAGAGCCCCAGAGTAGAGAAAATTACATGAGTTGATGACATCACCTGTCACCAGTCAAGTCCAGCCCTAAGGGAGTTACTGTTGGAATCCCAGCTCCCACTGCCTGCCACTTGACCTGGTGGGAAGATGCAGGTTTATTCAAGACCCACTCGAAGGAGACAGAGCAGATTCTCCATCTCCCTGGGTTTTCAGAGGCATAAACAGCTTTTTTTATAGAAGAACACAAGTCTAGGATGAACACAGGAGGGAAGCCCATGTGCTAAGTGGGGTCTTCCCAAGCCCCCTGTCTTTTGGTACTCTGGCTGCTGTAACTCACTTTGACCTCGTTGAATAGAGAAGGTGCTAAACCTTGCACAGACCACCCAGATGTCCCTGGAACCGGGAGTGGGCAGCGTTATCCCCCCTCTGTGCTCTCAGCCATCAGAAGTTGCAGGAGGTCTGTGACCAGTCTGGGCAGCCCCCACCTCTTAAGTTTCAGTTGGGACTTCTCATAAGAATTTAGACTGTTAGGCAAAAGGGAACGGATTGCAGTATCTTCTGAGGGAAAGAGAAGGGGAGGGCGGGAGATGAGTCAAAAGAATCTGCTGTAAGAGCTGGGTGGCTGTGGCGCACACCTTTAATCCCAGCACTCAGGAGACGGAGGCAGGAGGATCTTTGTGAATTTGGAGCCACTCTGGTCTATAGAGTTCCACGACAGCCAGGGCTACTCAAAGAAATCTTCTCTTGAAAAACTAAAAAGAGAATCTGCTGTAAGGACCGTGACATGTTCAAACAGACTGTTTTACCTGAATGCTGGATTTCAGCATTCAGACAACTGGCTATCCTTCCAGCCAGGCTGTGGGCTCCTTTTTCTGTCTTCATCTTCCCTGGGATTACCCCAGCCCGCTTCACTCAAAGGTTGATGAGATGCAAAGGTCTCTGTGGGTCATTCACAATCCCATCTCACAGATGAAGAAAGGGGCACAGTGAGTTCTCTGGTGCCACTACTGTCGTGTGTGGACTGTGTTGCATGGGTAGAGAGGAGACAGCCCCAGACAAGAGTCCCCTGGGCTTACAGGATCATCTGACTCACCAGAGCAGTCAGCAGAAGCCTGACTTACTGGGATGTTCAGGTCCTGGCCCTAGAGACCTGGAAGCTGTGAAAGGACACACCAGTAGCTTCCCTGAATATTAGGATACTTTCTGGGTACCATTCTGATTTTGCAGTCTTGGTTCTGCTCCTGCCCAAGACCCAGAAAAGATGTTTTTCTTGGGAAGTAAAATGGTGGTGAAGCTTCCACCCCATCAAGAGAGCTTCAATGGAGGCTGCTGGGTGGGGGCCATCATCAAGACAGGGCCCCAGCTCCTCTCGGGGCACCAACGACAGGAGGGGAGGCAGTGAGGCCTGAGGGGGTGGGGGGAAGAGCCAAGAAATTTGTCTCCATCCATCTGTAGCACAGGAGCTGGGCCTTCTCTACCCATGCTGTAGACCTTGTGAAGGCTTGCTTCATCTTCCCCTGCTAACAGGCAGGGTTTTCAGGGTGAGTTCTTGGTATTTTGTGTAAACCATTGGAAAGAGCTGTAGCCTGAAGCTACAGGAAGTTTCTATTCTATTATGAAGGAGCCAGCCCCCCAGGAAGCAGATCCAAGACACACAAGACAAGGGCCCATCCTCATCTATAGCACCTGGATACAGCTGTTCCTGAAACATACTCCTCTTTCTGACTTCTTAACCAATTTCTGCCACAACCAATAAGGTCAAAATGCCCTTTAAGTGAGGAGTTTGGGCCATAGGCTCTATCCTGACAAAGAGGCCCTGGTACCGATTCTCTCCCACAATTCTTGCATTTGTTTTCTCTCACGGAACCCTTACCCTATAGGAACATCTAGTAGCCTATTGGGAAAATGCATTCCTTGGAGACTTGTCAGCTAAATTAGAGCAGCATGGCCATCCTGTCCTCCCTCCTGGCCTGGACAGTCTACCCTAGCAGCAAAGCCAGAGCCTCCCTCCTTTCAGGTCAACAGAGTTTTCTAACACTAAGCAGAGGAGGGGCCTTGGTTCTGGGAACTGAACAAGGCTTCGAGTTCCCCAAGGGCAGAGCCTGAACACCGGCCAGGTAGCGGCAGCTGTGAGGCACAGGAGCTCAAAGAATGTGCACTAGGGCTTGTGAGCCCAGAGCAGGCTCAGCCCACCTGCTCTTCACTGGGTAGGGGTAGGGTTCTGGCCTTATTAATGTCACAATGCCTAACATAGCCCTAGGGCACAGACTGGACTCAGTCCATGCTGTCTGCTTAGAAGGGTCTGGGTTGTGAGCTTCCTCTACTTTTCATCCCACCTTGCCAGAAAGCTTCAGGGCCTCAGCTCTCAGAGAATAGGGGATGACAGCCTTTCACAGGATGCTAGCTACTGGCATCCTGGCCTGGGTTTGGTGACTGTAGGGACCCCTATCAGCCTGTCTCTAGGGCCTTTTCATTTGCTGCCAAAAGCAAGTTGGTGCCTTTCCCGAGCCCCAACTTTACCAGTACAGTGACACGCTGGCATACATTAGCCGGGGTCACACTAGTTTCATACACTTATTATACTTGAGCTCGGTCCTCAATTCCGGGAGGTGAAGGGTCTGAAGGATGCCAAGTCCTCAAACTAAAAGAGGCATAGGCACCTGGCTCCACCTACTTCTGTGTCCCTACTTGGTCCCTTTACCTCAGGGCTGACCAATGCCAGTTCTCAAAGGACAATGTCTCAGAATAGTGCCCTGGGGCAGCCTCCTGGAACAGCACAGGAGCTCTCAGGAAGGAAGGTAGGTGGGGAGGGGCAGAAGTGAGCTGCTTTGATGGGACAAAGAGGTTCTAAAATTGTCACACAACCCTGCAACTCTGACTGAAACCACTAAATTGTATACTTAAATGTGTGTAAGCTGTATCTTTGGATTAATAACACAGTCCGGGAGAGGGGTCCATGCTCCAGGAGCTGAGGCCCAAAGACATGGTGCTTGGCATGATTTTGTGGAAGATACTGATACCTTTTTGGCAGAAACACAGCTGAAGGGGTTTGGATGCCCCAGGCCTACCTGCTGTGAGCCAGGGTAAGCAGCCTTGCCATATCTTCCCAAGACCGAGGAAAAATCCACCACACATATTCCCATGGCTCTTAGGTAGCCAGAGCAGCCATACACCTGCCCTCTCCCCCAAAGCCTGCCACTCTCCAGGGCACAGGACTTTGCAGACATCTGGGATGGAGAATGAAGGAGAGGGCCTGCAATTCCAGGCTCCCTCCAGCAGCAGGGACCCAGGAAGGCCTGTTAAAGGCATATCAACTTGTGGCACAGGCTTTTAATCCCACACGTGGGAAGCAGAGGCTGGAGGATCTCTGGGTTTGAGGCCAGCCTGGGCTACACAGTAAGACAGTGTATCATACTGTGAAAAAAAAAATTAAAAGGCAGGTGTGAGCTGGAGAGACAGCTCAGTGGTTACAGAACATACACCACCTTTGCAGAGAACTATGGTTTGGCTCCCAGCACCCACACTTCTCACAACCACTTTAACTCCAGCTCCAGTGACTCCAACACCCTGTCCTGGCCTCTGTGGGCAGCTGAACTAATAAGTGCACATATCCATACTCAGATAACATACATAAACACATCATTTAAAAATACAATTTTTCTTTAAAAAGTGAGGTGGGCCAACTTTCAGGTCCTTTGGGTGCTCAGGCCAACTCAGATATCACACAGACATGGCTGGTTCAACTATTTATTGTGGCGTACTTTACATGCAAGAACACAAATTAGACAGTATTTGGAAGCAGAACCAGTGGGGTGGGGGACACATTAGTTGTCACGCTGAGCCACCCTCCAGAACCAGCTCTTCCCACAGAAACACGGACAGTGACAAGAGTCTGACTTGTAAGACAACAGGATAACAAACTCAATACCGTCTTTCCAGCAGCCCCAAGGATCCTCGGATCCCCACAAATGAAGTGCAAACTTTAGGAAGAAATACTACCCCTGCTCTCCCAGAGAGCCTGGAGTGTGAGTATGGCAGGATCAATCAGAACACAGGGTTGACAGTTGTTCTTGGGGACTAGGGAAAGCCTAGCCTAGACCTCCATGAACAAGAAGGGCTGGAGATGGGCACTTGGCTAAGTGGGTACCACAGGGCCACAAAGGGAGGACCTCCAAGTAGAGACATATTCCCTTACTGGCCTCCTGTGTGGCTGAGCACACAGGGAGACCCCAGTCATCACAACAGCAGACCACAGGGAGGCTGTGGATTGACCAGGCAGGAACAATGGCTCTCATGCTGCTCTTCCAGCCACCTAGGGCTGACCTCGCCCCAAGAGTGCCTGTGGTCTACCCTGAGCCATCTGAGACCATCAGCCAGAGGGTTGCAGGTAGGAAAGTCTTGGGTTGGAGCAAAGGAACTCGCTGCCACCAGGCTACCTAGGTTATGGCCACCACTTTTCCAGGTAAACAGTGCTATGGGTGACAGCATGGGCCAGGTGAGGAGGACAAGGGCAGTGATCCAAGGCACAGTCACTCACACAGAGGGGCTGACAGGAAAAATGGAAGCCAGCTCTGGCCACAGCTACCAAGAAGCCCTTTGGCTCTGAAACCCCATGTCCCAAATACAGACAAATGAGTTGGTCAGTCTTGGCCCAACTCCAGCCTGCCTTCTTGGTACCTGGGCAGGGGTCACTCTATGGCAGGCTCACAGGGTCAAAATACACCTGGTGACTTTCCTTCACATGATGGCCAAAAAGGTAGGAAGAAGCAGTCTTCACACTTCAGCACACAATGAACAAGAAAAGGTTAAACACATCCTCAAGAAAATATTTTGACAAAATAAATATTTTAACCTATAATCAGGTGTAATTAGTGCTTATGAGTCCCGGCAATAATTTAGTGTAATTAAGTACACACTCTAGCTGTGATTTCTAACACTTGTAGAGGCTGCTGGCTTGAGAGGG